TAATTGAAAGTTCACCTTAAAGTAGAAAAAACATCTAAAAGACATCATTGGAAGTGACAGTTTAGTAAATTCAAGAACTTTATTTTACATTCTGCTAATTTGGAATGTTGGTGCCTCTTTATATGTCTCTTTAAATTACACTAAAATCACTTCCATATTTATTGAATTCAAAGTTAAAACAGATAAGGAAAATCCTTTTGCCATGTATTACTGAACATGTTTGCGTTTCGTACATGAAGTTAGCCCTGAATTACCATATTAATATTGATTGTGAAGGCACTAAGCAATCAAGAATCAATTAATAATCAAAACATATTAATGAGATATTTTTTTTTTTTTTTAAACAATATTTATTCAAGGATTACAAATATTACATACATATATATAAACATATGGTTTTGGAAACAAGCTTTAAAGCTTATATAAATCCATTACCATAAGATATCTTCTTAATATTAATTAAAAAGCCTGTCAAATCTTGTTTATCCTTGGATCCTTCTGTATCAAAGAAGTTTAATAATACAAATATTCATTGCTTTCATTGGTTATTATAGTTTATTGTACAGTGTAAGTTATGTACTGAAAGGAAACTTTGTAGAAGAGATTATTAATACAAGTGTGAATGACTGACTATACATTTTGACATAATAAATTATGAAAATTAATGAAGGTTAATTAAAATTATAAATTCATAATTTGATAATAGGTTATTGACAATATTTTACCCAGTCCTACAGTGATTTTCATAAAAGAAAGACAGAAACAAGAAACAACTATAGTTTACAGGGATAACAACTTAGGTTTACAGTTAAGGATCCTTTCTTCCAGCTGGTCTCGGCCAAACCTCATGGCATTGATCTTTGCCGGATTATCCCGGATTATTCATACGTTAAAGGTACTCAATAAAAGCAAAGTAATCTTCTAAGGTTTTCTGGTTAAAAAATGAAAAGAAATTAAGTTACTTCTTTCTAAAATACAAGGTCTGTTCCTAATTTTATTACAGTGGGAGTTGAATCAAACACAATACTAAGTGACAGTTTGACTTTCAATAAAGAAGGTTAACGACTCAATAGTTTTGTCATTTCCGTTGGACAAAAATACATTTATTACTCCATTTTAAGGCCTACTTCTAACATAATGGTCCTTTTACAATTACATATCCCTTTACTATTCTTATGTGGTTACATTATAACATATACAAAAGGCAATATTTATGTGATTTAATCGTATAGGGAGTGAGGTAAAACATCAAAACAGTTTATATTGATTTTTGATATCGTGATGTTATGCATTTTCTTGTCATTTGTATACATAATAGGTGATATTTCTAGATGCTATTATGTGGTCCTAATAAACAGCGCCACCCAGAAGGGTTATAGAAGTTCAAACGTTTCATTTAAAACAATGCATCGAAAACACAGACACAATATATATACTTATAGTTCTCTAAAATAAACAAAATTGGGTTCTGGATTAGCCTCTCTTTCTGCCTGAAGTTTAATTTGTTAGAAGTTAGATATGAATATATGTGACTTTTTTATAAACTGACAAGAAACTTCTTTAAAGTGAGATTCAACAATCTAAATCTGTTATAGACATACATTGTATTCTCTGTCTTCTGTGATCTAAGTGAAATCACAAGTAAACTTTAGATAAAAGCTTTCAAATGCACATACTATATATTTAGCAAATGAGTCTTCCTTGTTCTTGAATGGATTGTAACTATTACAATGAGATAAGTTCTCTAATAATTTCGTTTTGCTGCAGAATGAGCTCAATTTGAGCTATTTATAGCAGGCTTGGAATAAACATGGAACAGCACATTTATCTACAATTTTAGATGGGGTCCCATCTATTTGAGCACCATATAAGCTTATAATAGAGACAGGCTGCAATAGCCTGTAAACTTGGTTTATTGTCCCTTTTTCATCTGCACAATGGTTAAGGTATCACGTCGTCTTCTTATAACTTGACTGCAATGGCCCTCTTTCTTGTTCAGGAAAGTTTGTAAATGCAGTAATTTGATTGGATTGTACAATAGCAAATACAGCCAATCTGAGCCCTTTGCAGAAAGACTGTACAAAAAAAAAGGGCTCTGATTGGCTGGTGTTCAATACAATCAAAGCGCTATATACTATGAAATAAGAAAAATGAGATGTTCCAGAAGAGATATGGTCGTCTTATAGTTAAAAGGCTAACAAGAGAGTAATGAAATCAATTACTAGTAAATTCTATCCAACCTTGGAAAGAAATACAAGGTTATCATTGAAGAAGGACATAGAATCTATCTATCTGTCTTGATGCAGTACAAGTCTGTATTCTTCATGCTGTTGTAATATTGATTACGAAATGAGAGGCGTCTGGTTTTACTGATATCAAACTTTTATTATACTTTATAATTCATCCTTACGTCTTCCTCTCGTCTATAAATAACGCTTTAATTCACCAATTTCATTACAATTGGTAATCTAAGAGTATGGGACAAATTAACCTGATAGCCAGACATAATCTAAGAGTATGAGACAATTTAACCTGATAGCCAGACATAATCTAAGAGTATGAGACAATTTAACCTGATAGCCAGACATAATCTAAGAGTATAGACAATTTAACCTGATAGCCAGACATAATCTAAGAGTATAGACAATTTAACCTGATAGCCAGACATAATCTAAGAGTATAGACAATTTAACCTGATAGCCAGACATAATCTAAGAGTATGAGCTTTGTAACATAATTGGTTAAGTTATGTAGTTAATGCAGGATTGTTGGTTTGTCATTTACCATTTGTGTATGAATATAGCTCTAAAATGTCCAGCTTTGATATTAGTCTTGTGATTTTTGTGCAATTTTCACAAATTTGCCATAAAGCTTTGTCTGCATGTATAATTAAGTTGGTATAATGATGTCAATTCTGCTAAATTTGACATATTTATGTTCAAGTGAAGCTACTTTGTCCTGCTGTGATATTGATATTTGAGACATTTTGTATTACGAACCAGTTTTTGTGACTTACACATGCAATAAAAATTGGCAATAAAGTTATAGTAATGTCCTAAAATGTTCCCTGTGAAATTTCAATATAATATTATGTTTGCCCCAGGGACCAAATATTCTCACTAACTTATTTCATTAAGTCTTATTGACCTTTAAAACACATCAATCTTTTGGAGACTTTTTAAGAGATAAAATGTGTGTTGATTAGTTCCAGCCAAGATACTTGAATCTTAACTTATAATTTATTTCCGTCATGTATGTTGTAATTCACTTTTATCTGAGAGTCCTTCAGAGTACATCTGATACGCAGCCTGATTATTTCAACTTTTATTTCATCAGCAGTGTTAGTTACATTGATTACTTTCTGATGATTGATTGTCTGGACAATCCAGACTCTAAATTAAAGTCTATGTGATAAGTGCATTTGGTCCATTGATAATCACTTTTTTCTAAGTTAACTTATAGACATGTCACATTGGCCTCCATGTTAATGAAACAGTCTTGTCATGTGATGGGGAAATTTCTTCAATCTTTCGTAAATGAATATTAATGAAGGTAATATTATTGGTGTCTCAGTCAATCAGAACTCGTCTCATGGCTGTCTGGAATACTTTAGCAATTTGGGCAACGTATCTTGAAAGATTCTCCTACACCCATCATCTTGCAATGTGCTATTTTGTCATGTGAGGGTCAAATTTCTTCAATATAAAATTTTCTGTATACCTGAACCTTTTGCAAATCTGTGGTACTTATTGTACCTGTGTTTTGCAGACATCCTCCTTTATCAGAGTATCCTGTCACAGTACTTGGCCATTGTTATCCTTTTGTACTTGTTGTTATTCTGTTTTAGCCGATATTGCATATGTTATATATTAGCTTATGAGCGTTAAGTGTAAATGAGATTCTTTAATGAATTTTTTAATGTTTTATCTACACCATGATGCATTATCTATCTCAGGCCAAATACATGATTGTCTGTACCTGATAGTATTCAACCAAGTAACCTGTTTATTTTCACAATCTGAATGATATCTAGAAAGTAAGATTACTAGCTAGAGATTGGGCTGGTTGAAAGGTAAACCAGTAACAAACTAGAGATATTGCACAGTGAAGCTGTCATGGTGGTTACCAATAATCAACAAGTGAAAATCAGTAATATCTTGACAGTTAATGTAGTATAACTTGACATTTGTAAATATTCATTGTGACCAAAAAAAATCAGAACTTAAAGTTCTATAACATTATCTATTTAGTTTGAGAAACATTCAACACATTCTTTGATGTCTAGTCTTGAAAGAATTTACACGATTATTGAAAGTGTCTGGTTGATCAAGAAGAAAATCTTAAGAGTTCTCTGATCAAAATCCATTGACCCTTTTCACCTTCAACACAGAAAATCTATGTCAATTGTGTCTGAAGAAGCTATACATTGATTGAAATATTTCTAAGAGGCGAAACATGGGGAGAGGAGTTGGGGATCTCCATCCGTCTGTTGTAAATTGAATAGAAGCTAATGAAATGACTTAAACATTTTAAAAATGAACAGATTTAGATGAAACATTTTGAAATGCGAAATACATAGGACTCATTTAAAGTGAATTGAATTTAATGAAATTTGTGAGTGATTAGATAAAATGAGTCTTGAAGGGAATGAAGTCGTCTATATTAGATAGAACACGATCAGCAATCAGTATCACCTTCAGAATAGAATCAGAATCATACAAAAACGTACCACGCAAGATACGACTTTCGTCACTTCCATGTAGTTGCAAACGTTCTGATGGGCAGATATAACCGTTATAGTCATATAAATAATATTAGTATTGCAAGGAGACCTTAATGTACCCTTCAAAACCATCACTGGTAATTCATCAAGTTAAATAATAAAAGCCAAATTAACACTATTTTGTATGTATGTAAATAAAATAAAAACTGTCTGAAAGTACTGTCTGGTCTATTCATGTCAATAATATTGTTCTTAAAAGATTTTTTTTTTGTGTTTTTCAGCATCATATACTGGAAGTTCATCAGAAGAAGATGACATCAACCCACGAGAAAAACAACAGGTAGGTCAATATCAAAATACTAAATACATACATTAAAGCATTAATAACCAAGCACATTCCTCTGACAGAATGTCTCCTATCTTCAGCTAAATTCAAATTCTTAAAAATATTTGATGTGAATTTTAATATGATAGTGTTAACATATCCTTTATATGTTGTTTTGATGTGAGTGTCACCATTAAGGGACACTTTACCTTTAAATTCCACTGTCTGTTGGTGTGCTTGGGTTTTAAGTGCCAACTTGATACTTGTCTACAGTCAGTGCTAGCAGTTGATATGTTAAAAAGTCATTTGTTCCAGAAGAATTTTTGTGTTGAAATTGCTCAGTAGAAATGAACATTAATTTCAATTGTCAAACACCAAGATAATGTTCTCATATATAAGTTTATGTCTAGAAATCAGATAAATAAAATTAGTCTTTGACATTGAGATGTCCAATCATTGTTCATGTTTAGCTGACACTAACTTTACACTAATGAGAATAATTTCCTTTCTGTTACAATTCTGTAGAAAACACCAAAAGGTTTTACTGATTTTTGTGTCAAGAATATCGATCATGCAGCTTTCGGCAGAAGAGAAATTGAAATTGCAGAACAAGGTAATGGTTTTAGTCAGTTTGTAATTGAAACATTCTGCTCATTAATTGGTTTATTTTATTCAGAGTTCATTTAAGTTTAAAGCACCGTACCCACTTTTTCACATTGACTAATGTAATGAAAGAACACCCAATTTTGCTGACATTATTTGGCAAAGACAATGTTTTTTGATGAGCTTAACTTCTGAATTGATTCAATGTTCCTGTATCTCCCAAAGTGTCACACTATTGTATCTCCCACAGTACCATAATACAGCCGAGGGTAGGCTTTTCCCTTTCTTCATGCAACTCTATCTACCCCTCAACTGTATTGTGGTAGTGTGTATTATGGTACTGTGTATTGTGCCCTAAAGATGCCAAATACCTGTATATTCCTTTAAATCATGAAAATACAATTAGACAAGACAGAAACTTTTAACATTTGAGGATATTTTTTTTAACTGTTTCTTATGTTTATTTCTTGTCTGTATGAATTAATTTTGGCTAGAGACTAATGGTTTTATTACAACCACCATCATATAAATCATAGCAAGTAGACTTGAACACATCCAATTTCATTGAATTATTCTACAAAGCTAGAAGTTTTAGAATTGTTGTTGTTAGAAATATATTGCTTTTGACATCTGAGATAAAATCCCCAACAGAATTTCCAATTTGTAACTTTTAATGGTTTGTAGAAATTCCCATTGGAAGACTCAGATTTGATGAGTTCTTAATTTTTTGTCTCAAATAATCAATTTAGTGATTATGTTAGGTTTTAGTTGTAATGAAATCTAAGATTAATATGAAACATTGCAGTTATATGTTTTCTCTTGCACGTGTTATGTTTAAACAATTTCTTTTCTCTATTCTTCAATTGTTTTTTTCACTCTTAGTCTATGACTTGATAACTGTCCAAGTTCTAAAGTATTGGTCATCTCATCAGAACTTTTTAGTTGCTTGAGGTTAATTTGAACTTACTGCAATTAGTTCGATATGATATAGATGCTGATATCTGCTTATCTGGACTTAATTTCACACATTGCCCATTGCATGGTATTGTTGGACTTCACATGTCTAATCAAGAGAATAAGAGGACAAAACTCCTATAAAAGATTAAACGATTGATAGTAAGGCCAGTCTTTGATAAAATGTAACCAATTCTTGTTATATTATTGTACTATTTGTCTTCTGTTTGATAGAATGATGCAAATAACAATTCAGAATTGCAATCTGATATTAATTATTCACCATTCCAATTTCAGAGATGCCTGGTTTGATGGCCTTACGAAGGAGAGCAGAATCAGACAAACCTCTTTCTGGTGCCAAGATAATTGGATGCACACATATCACTGCTCAGACAGCTGTAAGTAGATCACAGTCAAACCAATCTGATTAAAATCATATTATGATATTTCGTTTTGTCTGATATTTTTCATCTTCGCAGTCCTATTCTAATGCATTATTTTATTTTTAACAAATCAAATGTTAATGTAAGATCTATTTCTTGATAACAATGAAGAATTGTGGGATATCGATAGGTGAGCAATATGACAGCCTCCTCGCAGCTAATATCAAATGAATGGCTTGTAGAAATGATTCTAATTGGCAGAACTGTGGCAAGCTTGAAGTGCTTCCAGAATCTAACTGCTGTAAAAAAAATTGTTAGATTACAATGACGAAGAAATGTATTAGAAAAAAGAAACGAAATTGTAATGAAATTTTAATCAGATTGTTATCTCAAGATTCTGATTTGAAATGAAGAATGAGAAAGAGCTTCTAAACTCATTTCTTTATCTGTTTATTTCAAGATTAACTTTAAATGAAAATAAATTAAATCTGATTCCAAAATGTTTTCAAGGGGAAACCCTTGTAAAATTCAGTTTTCATTTCTTATAGACTTGCATGAATTAAGAATTTTCAAAAATTTTCACAGTCAATTTGTGAAACCAGTTAGAAACCATGCATAATAATATAGGTTACCAAGGAATTGACATAAATAAAACTTAATGTCTTATAGAATTTCTTATAGTTCCCACTTTGATAAATTATATTTGGTATTTGATACGCCAGCCAGGAGAATTTATGGCTATTTTATAAGACATAAATGGCCAAATTTCTCAGTTGATTGTGATTGATTCAAATAAAAATCAATCTGACTGAAAACCAGAGATTGATAACTACTCTAATACCTTTATATTTTATTTCGCTTTATATAAAAATAAGTCTTAAAGTGCCAAGTTATGTTGAAAATGGAAACGGAACAGTCTAAATTTGATTCACATTTTGAATCGTTTTATCCCTTTGTAATAATATGAGTTGGAAGGGGTGAGATAGAAATGATATCTAGTTGAATGTTCAGATACATAAAAAACCTGAGGCCTTACAGGCTGTAGACATAACAGATCCCTGACAAATGTAAACTAACATAGAGAATAATAATGCTACTGTCCATGCAACTTATGTAAGTTTATGTTTCTTACAGGTTTTGATAGAGACATTGATATCTCTTGGTGCTTCTATAAGATGGGCTGCTTGTAATATATATTCCACACAGGTAAATATTATACTTACATTGTTATATTTTTCAAAAGAAATGAATAAACAGTAAATGGTGATGAACATTTTTTTCAATAGTTACAAAGTGTGATGTGTTACATGTTGTGTATAGAATAATTCAATTAGTATGCTCAATGTTGTAAGGTGTTGCTGGTCATGATCATATCATAACATTAACTAAAAAAAATTATTTAAATGATAGTTGTTGAAACATGGTGTCAGTGTTTAACTTCCGTAGATTTGTTTCTCATGTTATATATCAGTATTTGCTTGATAACAAAAAAAGCCTATACAGTGATGTTTTCATGAACCATTTTTTTTATTGCCTCATTGAAAATCATTGGAGCAAGTTTCATTGTAGAAACATGACATATCCTCTTCTTAAATTGTTAGCTTCTAATTAGAGTTTGGAGATACCTGCTACATTCAGTCAAAACAGAGTTGTGTTCTATCCGATTCTGCCATTTTCTCCATGTTGATACAGATAGCTCTGATCCTTATTGATTAGTTGTTGAATCTATCTATCTTTATTGACCTTGTAATAACCTTTCAGTCTAATAATATATTTATATATATCCTTCTACTTTTGATTAAATTACTATACATACCATACCAATACTCAATACATCTTCATCTTGAAAGAAACCAGGATGGCACAACAAGTTCAGACACTTGCTCCCGTTATTAGCCTGGAGGTCTCTGCAGTGTCTCAACTACCAAGATCGAGTCTACAGCAAACCACCCACACCCCAAGAAAAAAATGCAGGAAAGCATAATGTTAACAACAAATTTCCAGGGGGATGGGCCCATACCCACTTAATTCCACAGGCCCCCAGTTATCTAGTTGACCCACTGGGTTTCTATGTTTAATCCTGGCATAAAGTGAGATGATACTTTTAGATGTTTCAACTGTCAGTGGTTATGAGATAATAAACCAAAGCCCTGCATTCTTCAGGCTGTTCATGTTAAAGATATCTCCACAATTTGAAATTTAAAAAGAGTAAGCCAATGCTGCTATCCTTTATAATTGTCAGCTTATTTGCACACTGCATTTCATTTATTATTTCATTCAATGGACCAAATTTCATATATATAGAGGCCTACTTCGAAAAACGTATTTTTACACTTGCAAGGGTGATGTATAAAAAGTATATACATGAGAAGACTTGATTCTGGATAAGGATACAAGAGTTACGCAATACAAGCTAGACTTTAATGGTGGTCAGATTTTTATACATCTGTAGGTTGATTTCTAGCGAATATTGATGTCCTCTAATCATGTTGTAGTTTCCCTCCGGAAACATATTTGAATAAATAAAGTTGAATGGTCCAATGTGGTCTAACAAACTGCGAAAATCTTCTTAATTAAGCTGTAAAAGTTCCACTAGGGTGAGTTTTTGACTGGTTCATTTCTCATTAATATGTCTGGAATTGTGTATTGTCACGATACTCAATATACTTATTAGCAGGATTTATTGCTAAATTTACATTTGAAATTGTTATTCTTGATATAGTTATAGCTCAATTTGAAATGTAAATTAAAGAGTCTAGCTTATATTATATAGTTTCATTCATGATTTTATTTTTGGTTAATTTTGTGTAGGTTCTGATCTGATTTTATATTGGCTTGAAGTTCTGGTATCTGTTAATATTGTGTTGGGTTGACACTGGTATTTGTTGAATTTATGTATGTGTAGGCTTGACACTGGTATTTGTTGATTTTATTGTAGGGTTGACACTGGTATTTGTTGATTTTATTGTAGGCTTGACACTGGTATTTGTTGATTTTATTGTAGGGTTGACACTGGGTTTTGTTGATTTTATTGTAGGGTTGACATTTGTGGAATTTATGTGTTGGGTTTTCACTGAGCTTTTCACATAGTTTTCGGTTTTTATTTAGGTTTTACAGAGTTTTGTTGTGTTGTCTTCACACACTAACATTGGGTTATTTGTAGGTTTTACGTAGTGACAAACTTCCCTTCCCAAGACTCCCCTTGCTAATGTTGTGTCAGCTTAGATAAATGCCAATAAGGTTAAAGATACAAATTCTGAACTGTTTTCCTGTCTTTCCTAGCCTGTGGAACTAATAATGTCAGCCCAGAGGAATAACAAATTATTACTCGCCACCAGTTCTTTATAAGCAGCTAATTCCAATATGTCATAGGAATTTACTGACATTAATAACCTAGTCTGTTTACTCTTCTTAGTAAGCTATACATTATCTTGTTTTATAGCTTCCAATTTGATTGTGTATTATGGTCCATACTTTCAGTAAATGTTTTGATGTATATGGATTATATATATTGCTGTGATAAAACACAAAATTCATACAAAATACAAATGATCTATCAAAAAAGTAAACTGTAGAATAAAACCTGAATTTAAATTAATAGGAAAAGCTCATTTTTGTTGTATAATTAATATAAATATCAATCTGAAGGGGAGGTAGTTTTAATTAGGCATTTAGATCTGTGGATATATGAGCATGATATATCATTATTCTGAATTTTAACAAATATCCTTCATCTATTTGAATCGTTGCAATCACCTTTATCAATGCCAGACATCTGTGGACTAGTGTTGTATTCAGCTCAAATTCTAGTGCTTATTATATATGACTATAGAAAGAAACTTAAAAGACGTATTCTTTCAGAATGAAGTGGCTGCAGCCTTAGCAGAAAACAGTCAGCCAATATTTGCATGGAAAGGTGAAAATGAAGAAGATTTCTGGTGGTGTATTGATAAATGTGTCAATGCTGAAGGCTGGCAACCAAATATGGTAAGATCATAAAGAGTTTTCAAAGCAATATCAGGGATTTAAAAACAGGAATATTTAAAAAATTTTAAATGAAATTTGTTTCATGTTATTATTTATTTTTATGTATTCTTCTAGTTCTTATAACTGAATACATGAAGTGTTATAAATGTATATTTGGACCCTTGTAATCTGAAATCAAATACATACTTGTATCATCTTTGTAATCTGAAATAGAATACATACTTGTATCATTTTTGTAATCTGAAATAGAATACATACTTGTATAATCTTTGTAATCTGAAATAGAATACATACTTGTATCATCTTTGTAATCTGAAATAGAATACATACTTGTATAATCTTTGTAATCTGAAATAAAAAACATACTTGTATCATCTTTGTAATCTGAAATAGAATACATACTTGTATAATCTTTGTAATCTGAAATAAAAAACATACTTGTATCATCTTTGTAATCTGAAATTGAATACATACTTGTATCATTTTTGTAATCTGAAATAGAATACATACTTGTATAATCTTTGTAATCTGAAATAGAATACATACTTGTATAAACTTTGTAACCTGAAATAGAATACATACTTATATTCCTTTGTAATCTGAAATAGAATACATACTGTATAATCTTTGTAATCTGAAATAGAATACATACTTGTATAATCTTTGTAACCTGAAATAGAATACATACTTATATTCCTTTGTAATATATTGATGCATTGTGTCATATTGAATTTATATATTGATCTATGTTAAATTGTAGATTTTAGATGATGGCGGTGATGCTACCCATCTAATGTTAAAGAAATACCCAGCAATGTTTAATATGATTAAAGGTATAGTGGAAGAAAGTGTGACCGGAGTACATCGTTTATATCAACTATCAAAATCAGGAAAACTTTCTGTTCCAGCCATGAATGTCAACGATTCTGTCACCAAGGTAAACAAAAAATATTATTTATAAAAGCTCTTAATTTCACTAAATTTGTTAATTATGCCTGATTGTAACTATAAGATGGTTCAGTGTCTTAAAAATTGATGGAACATGTTTATATTTTTGGTTATCTGATAATGATATATTAAATGTCTGATATACCAATTTTAACCAATGTTTTATTTTGTTTTATTTTGTTTTCTAGACAAAGTTTGATAATTTATATAGCTGTAGAGAGAGTATATTGGATGCGTAAGTTTAGATACTTTTTCTTCAACTTATTTTTAAAAAAAATTCAGATCGGTAAAGTGGCAATAACTGATCATTTTACTAGCTTCATAGTATTGCTCAATACATGAGTTTTTATTAGTATTATCCTTTGACTTTTTAGTATTTTAGTATTTTGTATATTATTTTAGATTAAAACGTACTACAGATGTTATGTTTGGTGGCAAACAAGTTTTAATCTGTGGGTACGGTGAGGTAAGTTTTCAACATTTGACTTTTGTGTTTTCTGTGGTTAGGCCTAATCGAGAGATTCTTATCTAAAAAATGGTAGAGGGAAGAAAAAAAAACAAGCTATAATTAATTCTGTGATCTGGTGAAAGGTCTTGAAAGCTGGCAACAGTTAATCAATGTATTTTTCAAAATATTTCTTGCCTTGGTAGTGCTTTAAACCCACGGCACCATGGACAGTGGTATATCTAGAGACATTTCCCCCCCAACAAGTGAAAAGCTGATTTTGTAGTGAAAATTAAGCCTTCTGAATGCTAAGAATTCATAAAATCTGAAATCTGATGGCTTTTGGGGGCCTATGTTAGACCCTCAGCTTCAAGGGAATTATTTTGAATAGAATTACACAAAAAGCAGAGCTCTAGATGTCTTTTTTATCATTTTCAGGTTGGTAAAGGTTGTGGGGCAGCATTAAAAGGTTTAGGTGCTATTGTTATGGTTACAGAAATTGACCCAATTTGTGCTTTACAAGCTTGGTAAGTTGTCATGTAAACTTTATGTGTTTAGTCATGACTTATTTTATAAAATGAAATAAGAATGATCCTTGACATTCAATTGGTGAGTACTGCTCAAATGGTAGTCACTATGATTAATGCACTGACAAAAAAGACAGTGTACAGAGTAATTGTACCATCTGATAAATGTTTAGTAGTGGAATAGAGGAAACCTGTTCAAAACTCATCAATTGAGTGCAACCTATCTTGGCAGACAATGAAGTGTAATCAAGGGAGAAAACTATATTTAAACTTATACTAGCAGGATATGTTAATACATCTATACTCTTTGATTATTTTTAGTATGGATGGTTTCCGTGTTGTTAAGTTAGATGAAGTGATAAGACAGATAGATATTCTTATAACATGTACAGGTATGTTCATATCCATATATCTTTATACTGAAATGCTTAATAACGTCTATATTACAAAAACTCTTAATATTATCTGAGTGCCTTTGAGCTAGCTATGTTATAAAATATGTCATAAACACTTAGTGTTAGTGGAATCTCAAGAACCAGCGACATCTAATTGAAAATAATAATTGTGCAACTCAATGCTGTCATTGTCCCTGATACATAAAGAGTTTGGAAAACCTCGTTATAATTCTCTTTAAATAAAACAGCCAATATTTTGGCATGCTTATATCTTTGTTGCTAATGATACCTGTGAAATAATTATTAATTTAATTTATTTGTGTTATATTTGATTAAAGGAAATAAGAATGTTGTGAACAGACAACATCTAGATAGATTAAAGAATGGTTGTATTGTATGTAATATGGGACATTCTAATACAGAAATAGATGTGGTAAGCTTGGTTTCAGTTACAAACTATATTACCATTTTACCACATTAAACCTTGGTGGCTCAGATATGAACGTGCTTGTTCGCTATACTCATCCTTTGAGGTTTCTTCCTAGAAATGATATATGGAAATCAGAAAGGCTGATATCTCTATCCCGGCAAATCTTTCTGCATAGTACACTATATGGCAGTTGCAGAAATATCAAATGTCAAATTCCATTTCACTTCTATGGTGAACTTCTCATTTTATGAGGAGCAACTTTTGTTCAGTTATGATATACCACATCATACTTTTCAGACAAGTTTACGAACACCAGAATTAACATGGGAGAAAGTTCGATCCCAAGTGGACCATATTATCTGGCCTGATGGTAAACGTATAATCATGCTCGCTGAGGTAGGTTGATAAATCCAAACTGTTACAGTGATTCACCTAAGGGTTCCAGATGACTCCAAGGCATAACATCTCATCAAATCCATTAGGAATTGATCAACTATTATCAACTTTGATCTACTCGATGGTCGCAGATTTTGTCAGACTTTTCAGATTAACGACCGCAATTGTAGGTAGTCAGTAGAACATAGTAACTCATATAGCAACTGATGGTAACCTGCCAATATTGCCTTGAGTGTTCCTTGAACAACAAAACACAGAAATAAAATGTTGCTTGTGAGGTGGGAGAATCAAAAGATTTATGTATGACATATCTAAAAGCTATATAATATTTTATTATTTATTTTAGGGTCGATTGGTGAATTTAAGTTGTTCCTCGGTACCATCATTTGTAGTATCAATAACAGCTACAACACAGGTTAGTATTTTCTAGTAACATATCATCCATATTTTTCAAAATTTGATACACAAAATCACATATTATGGAAATGGCTTGCCATTATTCGAAACATTACAAAGAAATGACTTCTCAAAACACAACAAACAATGTTTTACTAACTAACTTCATGCTTTGTTATAAACTAAATTTGTATATTTTCAGGCCCTAGCCTTGATAGAATTATTTAATGCACCACAGGGTCGTTACAAACAAGATGTATATCTCCTTCCAAAAAAGATGGGTAAGTTCCTATTTTTACATCACAATCTTTAAAAAATCTAAAGATGGCCTCTGACCTCTTGAAAAAAAAAACAATGGTTTGGGAAACTATGCACATAATGTCCTTGGCTACATTTTTAATTTTCTATCTCACATGCTGTTTTAACCAGTCCTGTTATTTTTGTTTTATATAGAAAATAGTTATAATAAGTTTAATATGATGTGTTATATTTCAGATGAATATGTTGCTAGCTTACATTTACCAACATTTGATGCTCATTTAACAGAATTATCTGATGATCAGGCCAAATATTTAGGTTTAAATAAGGCTGGTCCATTTAAACCAAATTATTACAGGTACGTTTCTTAAAATAACTTATCCATTTCACTGAGCTACTTTACTTTGATATTGATAAGCTTAGGATTTATTTGTCTTGAGCTGGGTAGGTCTGATCCCCCTTTAGTTCAGGATAGAACCTTTGGAAACTTTCAATCCAATTTGCACCATGTCTATTTTGATTTAATGATGAATTCAATGTTCATGATGAAGGTTACATTGTCCATTGTCTATCTGAGCCAAATCAAGAACAGAAAAGTTGAACATAAATTACATTTAATTTCGTGCTGTTTCCATATAATAATGTTAGATAAACATTCTCTGATTGTATTCCTTTGTTTTTCAGATACTAAAATGAAAGAAGATGACAGAAAGAATGAATGAAATGGATGAATTGATTAAATCATGACATTATCACTTCTATAATTACACTTAAAATAACAATTCTCACTTAAACTAAGATTAATTAGACTTCAGACAATCATTTCTGTGTAACATTCTAAACCCTGGTTCTCAACTGTTTTGTTCTACTCACATAATGGAAATCTAACATTGACCTTTAACAAAGTGTCTTTACCCTTAAAACATTGGCTGAATATGAACCAGTGCTACTTTCTGAAAATGGTCAGGGACCTGCAGTAGGGTAATTATGTACCTGTAAAGGATTCTAGCACCACAGGTTGGAAACCAGGGTTCTAGATTGAATTTGTTTTAGATAAGAATATAACTCAAGTATATTTAAACATTATCAAACCATCTGTAAAAATCACGACCTCACTACACATGGTAGATAGAAATTTTCTTGATAATTTTATCTTTAAATATTATGGTAACCAAAATATTAGTAAGATTAAATCATTAGCTGGATTGTTTATAATGCTAGGAATTCCTGGACAACATTCTTCAACCAGATTGTTGAAATAACAATGATGTGATGTGTGATAAGTCCAGCTATGATTGTAGTCTCATTATCTCATTCTGCTCTGATGATATGTACAAATACTATAGTGATATATACCTGATTTCTGTCTGTTTCTATTAATTAATATTAAAGAGATTCAAAAGAGTTTTCCTAAAGTTGTGTATGTGTATCTACATTTACAGCATCTGTTGGTACCAGATTTCTTATTCAATGTACAGTATATATGTATAGATCTGTAAATCCATAAGAAACATAGGAACGGTGAAAATATAAGCTCTGTGTCCTTGGAACACATACACATATAAGAAACATCTTTTGAATCCACGTTGGCAGCTTGTAACGAAAATAGCTTCCATAATTCATCTCATAGCTTGAAGATACTATACAGCTATTAGCTGTTAATATAACATATAATTAATGTAATGCATTTAAATGAATCAGAAATATTAACATAAAAAATGAATTATATTTTAAATAGCAAATTTCTACCAGATTATAGTTGAACACAATAAAATGAAATAAAATTTGTATATTGTAAGAAATGGATATAACTTGTAGTTTGTATGATAATTCTTGCCTTAGTATTATATAATGTGATATGATTATTTTTAGATTATCTCAAATATATCTCACTCTCTCCAAATCACAACAATCAATAAATGAAATGTAAAATAAAGATATAGGAATAATTCAGCTAATATTATGAAATTTCTTGACCGTTTGAATGAATTTCAAGTTTTTATTTGTAAAAGATTATTAGTTATATAGGCAGTTTTATTAACATTGTTTTGAATTATTTTCATGGCAGACATTATTGAAAATAAAGGAGAATTTTGAAGAATAAGCTCTTAAAATGACAACTTTAAGAAATATTATTTTGCATACATTATTTAAAATAAAGGACTTTTTTTTTGATAATTCGGTAGTTTAGTTCAAAAATATCAAATTTATGTACATATGGTTTAGTTTTGAGCTGGTATATAACTAGTTCATTTAGAGTCTAATATAATACATGTTTTTATTATAGTCATTATTACACTGAAATTATCCAAACAAATTAAAAAGATACTTATCACTTTTATTCATTTTTTGTTAGTTTCATTCTTTTTTTATTAGAGAATTCTGTATATACATGTACTAGATTCAGTATGGTCTAATGAGAGATAAAACAAGTCAGTTTGTACCTCAGGAAGTGAGTGCTTGAAATAGAATAATAAGGAATGTGCTTTCACTGGACTATGGAATTTGCTAATATGCAGATGTAGAAATTCAATTTTGATCCATATCTTCCATGGTAATTAAAATCGGTTTTGAATTTGCATTGATAATGAATTTTTTTAAGGTAATAATGACTTATTTGAGCAGCCTGTAATGGCCCTTGCAAAAATGATGATTTGTTTTGTATATTTTTGAACGGATTGTAAGTGTTTATCATATCATACCTCAGAATGTAGTTTATATTGAATTATCTAAGTCTTATTACTTCAATTATCAGAAGCCTGTCTTTTAAAAAAATAAACATTTAAGATGGAAATTTATATTAAATGTGAAAATTTTATGCTGAATGATGAACTTTGAGGGTAAGATTTTACTTAGGCCCAGGTGCTCAGATACATGACCAAATAAGGAATGATGGTAGACTTTACATTGCAAAATTATAATATGTTATCGGGTATAATCATTTGGAAAGTTGTTTATATTACTAACATTAACTACAATAAAAAGTAAAATATATACTGCTCTTGTGTTTGTCTTGGAATACACAGACATAGGATGAAGGGATCATTAAAAGTCATGGTTCTTTGAAGACACCTAGAAAATGTTGTTGATTCTTACATGTATCGGCTGGTCATCCAAGAAGATTCCAAAAAGATAAACACAAGCAGTCCTTATGACATCATAATGGAATTCTCTTGTTCAACATAACGTCACAAGACAATAGAAAAGCCACGCTCTCATATCAAGACATATTTGTTCTAAAAAGGCAGTCCCCTTATGGAGAGATGCAAGGGATACTTTTCAAAGTGCTTCTCTGGTAAAAAGGTTGAAACTGCTGCAGATACATCTGGAGAGCGACAAACACGACCCCTTCCAGTGCCAGAAAATCAAAGAAGTCATGTTCCATCAGAAGAAAAGGGGATCGAGGATGAACGCTCTCGTCCTCTACCCACGCCAAAGACTCCAACTATGCCTACTGCATCGAAGGATACAAAAGAAAGTAGCATGGGTGATGCTGAACGAGGTATAAAGTGCGGAAGAGTGAGTTCATTCAAAAAATCGACCAAGAATCATAATGGTTCCATATCTATCGTAATCCAGGATCGGAGAACAAACAGCATGCTCAAGGAAAATAATAAAGAAAAGAATATCCCTACTGAAGGAATCATAACTGAAGTAGAGAAAATTAAGAAAAAATGTGTAACAATCCAAGAACCCGAGGTCGAAAAATACAGCCCTCATGATGAGTTCCCTCCCAGAATAGACATTTCATGGCCCGAAGACGAAACTTTAAAACGAACCATGGCCTTCAAATGGGAAGATTTAAAAGCGGTAGTAGCTGAAAAGCATAGAATACAAACGGAAAGGCAAAAGGTTAAGATGGTGAGAAGTCATTGCAGATTCACTGAGTGATACATTGTTAACTAGATATAAAAAATACAACTTGGATTTTTGATATTTTCATTATTAGCAGATGAGCTAAATGTACAAGACTTTCGTACTTCAGTTGTATGAAATAGTAGTCAAAGGTAAATAAATCTGTTAAAGCATGTCAATATGAAGTTAATTGTGTTCTGTATTCCTCATTAATGGAGGCGTGTGTATATTAGACGGAAATATACGAAGAATTACGATGGATGTAATCGGGATTCTTTGGTATTTTCCGTGAATGATAATAATTGCTTAACCCAACATTTACACATTGAAGCCACCGAAAATTTCATGAAAACTCGAGCAGTGTATTTTCCGTAAAATGTAGTGATCGTAGGCCCTACCCTTGATTGACAGAAATCCCGATTGATATAAATTTGATTATTGATGTTATTAGATGAATATGTCAAGATGGGTTCTTGCGATAATTTACTAGAAAACTCGAATGAGGTATTCTAGATTACTGTCAACAGATATAACACTCATTCTTCATTTTTCCTTCAACATCCTGAAATCTTGGTTTAATCCCCGTAAAACCACATAACCTGTCTTTTCTTTAAATTTACCACAACCATTGAGCAATTTTATAGCAAAAATATGATCAACCTTCTTTTTACCTTATTATCAGAATTCATTATTATCAGATTTTCATATGACTGCAAACAGCAAGAATCACAGTTTTCAACATAGTTATTGTGGTCTTAAATAATACTTAAAAGCTAGTTGTCTCCCTTTAACTGTAACATCCATCAAGAAGTTCAAGTATTCACAGCAAACATAAATAGCCATTTGTTATTGTTTACTCCAATAACTAACTAACTAACTGATAATTGCCCCTGCAGTAGGCGATAGAAGAATGGAATACACGATTGAACTAGCGACTGTAGTAAAGTTCCTATTAGACAATATTCTTTATTATAGGAATGTTTTTTTCTGGAAATATTTTTGTATAGAAACTAACGGTCACTTCGATATTTTAAAGAGTAAAAGATTATCCGCCTGAGTTGTTAAGATCGGTATATCGGACTTAATATAATGACTACCTATGTAGGTTGTTATTATTAACTAGTAGTGTTATTACTCTATATGGTGGTTAGTGTTTAGATCGGTTAATATAGTAACATCATAAATAGATCAATAATGGATTTTCTATCACACAATAGTTGGCTGTTATTAACTTTAAAAATCTAGGTACTCGAAAACACATATTGCTCAAGATTTATTATTTTCAAGTTTAACTGCTCATATTACGGTATTAGATAGGATATAAAGGTGATTTCCCTAATTTACTGTATACTCTTGACTTCCTGCATGAACAATCAGGTATGTATTGTATGGCATTTATTATTCTTTTTTATGATTTTATGCCGGTGTTTGGTGATAAAAAGGGAAAGCCGACACCAGGTCGACTCTCGGAAGCACTTGCTGTGGCATCTGAATCTTTCTTACCTTGGGGAGAATTCGAACCCACGGCACATTTTCCCCCGACGGCAACCGAATTAGTTATTGACTGAACTATACCATTGCCATGGTGTCAGGGATAGATTAATATATAAATCCAAAAATAAAGCGATTGTGATTTGAGAACAGACAATTTGGCCAATATTCAGTATATTATCATCGTTTTGATCGTGAAATAAATGTATCGTCATATTTAGAAGTATTCGACATTTATAATATTATGTGCTAATCAAAGAAAAGTCTCTTATATTAAAATGATGCACTTAATAGAGATCAGGCCTGACCACAGATATAAAGATAAGAATTTCAAATTGACCTTTAAGGTAATCAAATCGATATTTTGGTCAACTGAAAACATTTCCTCAAGAATTATTTGGTTCTATTGGCCCAACATTCACAAATCATTTCAAATAATACATACATCTAAGCATAAAGACAGCCCAATTTGAAAGGTTTTATTGTGACATAATGGGACCCAAGGAAACATCAGTATTGCCTGAATTTATTCCAAACGTTTTTCAAGAACATTGCCTTTGTAGGTTTGTCCTCATTGCATATGTCTAAAGGCCGAGATTGATGTAAAAACATGGTCGAAGGACACTAAAGTTTGTCATTTGGGATTTCTGACAATGTCGATAATTAAACAACAAAATACAATAATTGGACCTAATGGGCGACGATATAAATAATTCATTATTCTTTCTGTCGGATATGGCGTCTGTGATATCATTGTCTAAGAAATCGATGTGTATCAAGACGACATAGAAAGGTTGCCAAGCAAACATCGTGTACAACTATTTGATCTTGCTTATTGTCGGGGAACCATATTAATATTTTCATGTAATAATTTTTTATTACTACACATTTCATGTTTTGTCAATACAGGTAGCCTATTATAGTATTATATTAGTCAAGATTTAAAGTGAAGAGGTTTTTTATAAAAAAAAATGTGTTCCAGACCTATTTGTGGTTTCTATTTGCGTCATTTCAATTTCCCGTCAGATTTTTGTAGTTCATGTAATAATTATTAAAATCATGCTGAACTGTCTATGACGTATAAATTATTAGCAGTATAATTGGCGATTGACGTCATAAAATGCTAAAAGTTAAAGTTAAATAGCAAATCACATGAGCTGCTTTTGAAAATATGAAAGTTCCCTATCAAATGGAACATTGTTTTCCTAATATTTTTTAATTGATATTTTCATTAAGTAGCTTTGCATGTTCCTTTTCAACAGAATATAATGTATTCATTGAATATCTAGATTGCCGTCCTTTGAACTATAGAAAGTTGTGTGAAGACTGAATAATGAAGCAGAAAGGGGGTCAAGTACATGTACTTATAAAAGACTGAAACTATAATGTCCCACGAAGCTAAAAGCCGAGTAAAAAGCTAACTAACAAACCGGAAATGATAAATAGCGCGGATAGTGGTAAAGCTAATGTTATTGATCGTAAATTAAGATGATCAAGTTTTGTTGTTTAACGAATGAAAAATGTTTACATAATGGAATTCTACTCAGAAATCTATATCCGTTGACGTTACTACAATCTACATTTATTCACAATCCAAGATTCCCAAGTTTACCAGTATATCGTAGTTTCATGTTGACTCCTTCGGGTTGTGATTAGGATAAGATCGTCTCAATAGTGAATGACCGCTAAGGCTGAAATAATTAGATACTGGCTTGTCTTTCTTTAATTTGGTAAAAACGAGTGCGCGAAATATTCTTTGTTTCTCCTATGTATAGTTTTGGTAACTTTTTAAGATATAATAAGAAAATTAACTTATAATTTTCAACCGTTAGATCTTTTCTTCTTCGTAGAGTTACTTGAGAAATACTTAATTTTTGGAACAAGGACATCTATTCAACAAACATTGAGCACTCCTTAACTCGTGTAAAATCTGTTCTCATGGCTGCTATCTCTGCTGAAGTGGAAGTTGATTATTCGTAAAAGCCGTTTATAGTATCCACACCCTTTTGATTTTAAGAAAACAGCCATGCTGAATGGATGTTCCTGAAATTATATAATAGGTGACTGAATTATTTCCGTACATCTATATGAATTTGGATTGAAGAACATAAAGACCACAAACTACTTGAAATATTGTTCTTATTGGAGAGATGTTAATGATGTTCAAAATGTATCAACCCTTTTCTTGTTCTTCTACTTTGAGTTAATAATAATCGATAGGCTGATACGTAATTAAAAAAAAACATCATTAGAAGGTCCACAAAAGGCAAAGTATTTTCCAAATAGGTACAATAGTGCTAAGAAGGAAGTAATAAGTCACCAGCAACTTTTGCGATAGTGACTTCATATACGATTAAGCAATCCTTAAATTACAGGAGGCACATCTGACAGAAAATTGTAATGATGCTCACTAGGAAAAGATTACATGTATCAGCCCATACAATTATCATGCAGTCTTGTTAAGGGACAGTTTAGGTCAAAGTCATAGCCATGTAATAAAACGTAAACATTGGTTGATACGTGTATATCACACTAGTATTTTTGTAAGAAGTTAATCGTTATAGTCAAGTTATATATTGTACTAGGCCCTATGACCTACTGAGTAGTGCAGTTTGTCCAACTAAATGAATTCATCTACTTAGTTATATAAGATAAATATTTAAGGAATGAATGTGGATCTTGTTATCGTTATGGGGAAATAAACGCTGGTTTATCATGTGACAAGACAAAAATATATTATGATATATGATATAGTTATAATAATACCTATGGATTGTTTGTGAGATCTTATATTATTATGTTCGTGTTTGATGTAATATGTGTGGTTATTGTATGATGTTCCTAGCAGGTAGTTTATACAAAGCTGTCAATGGGTTATATTGGATAAGCTACATGTAAATGTATATTAAGTTAAAGAGGTTTTCTAAAATGTTTTAGTGGAATTGCAGGAACCAGAGACTAGAAAATTAGAGTGGTGCAAATTGATCAGTGTCCCAGATACACATAAAATTTAGACAATCTCTTTAAAATCCCTTTAAAAGCTTGATCGGACCTAGTTGTCTGTATTGTGAATTATTGTTTTATGTGGTAGTTATTATTGTAGTATATTAAGATTTATGATATGGTACATTATAGACATCAATTGATTAAAGATCTGATGAGATCATAAAGTCCATAGATTCAAATCATTCAATTGATTATTTCTTTTTATGGAAACGGAATATTAGCACTAGCTATACACTATTAGTTATTAGAATTTGAATTTGTCATATTGGAAGGAGGGATATAGTACATATCTAATCTAAATATTTACTCAATGTTTCACTAATTTGATTGAAATTGTCTAGCTTAGCTACAGTTAAATATAAAACCTAGTAGGGGAAGTATCTAATTTGTGTCCACGTGCAGACATTACTGATATTTTGACGTCTTTTAGTGTCTTAGTTATATCTGAATGGGAAAATGTTAACAATGGCTAGGTTTTTGGGACATCCCCGGTTAACCGAGTAATCCTGAAGATGTGTTTATTTCAGCTATGAGCTAATGGGAAATAGTGCCTCTGTGAAGGATAAGAAAAATAAAGGTTCAACCATCACAGTAGCTGAGGCTAACACAAAACAATCGCCTGGGGGTGTCAAAAACAACATGGAGAAACGAACCGCCCCGCAGAGGGGTGGTAAGTTTCAAGAGGTCCATTTAAAGAAATCTGCGGACCACAAGAGTGATAACTTGGGACCAAATAAATCCCAAGCTGATAAAGAGGTATCATCTAGTCCTAGATCTAATTCTAAGACAGCGAAAGAAAATGCTGCAGTTGAGAGTTATGAGAAAAAAGCCCAGTCTCGTGATAAAAATACTACAGCCCCAACTGTAAGTATAATATTAGTTTCTGAATGATACGAGAAAGTGAATCAAGAATAAAATATTTAAAAGATTGAGAGAATAGCTTTTAAAGCTAGAGCCTTGCAATCATGTTTTGAATAAATGGTGACAGTGGATCCTAATCTGTGCTCTTTCGCTGAAAATGGAAACTCATAGTCCAGAAATATATATTGCTAAGAGGTTTAGAGCCAGACTGTTTCGTTCTTCTTCTCCCTAAATTACTATTAGGAAAATAATTATCATTGAAGTGAAGTCATCTGATTAATTTCAGGAGGGTGATGAGATCGTATTTGAAACATTTATTATGAACGATGGTAGAGAATTTCAGTGTCTCTATACTGGTGGTATTAGATTCTACCTAGATGATTGGCATTCAAAAGTATGTTGTTACTAAATAGCCATTATTTGTTGACAATTAGAAACTTCGCCTCACTGCGCACTGCATGACATCGCATGTCTCAAGGAACAACGTGAATAAGGAGGAGAAAAGTATAGCATAGAATTCCAATTCATTTATTTCATTTGGAACTTATCCAGCTACTGTCTTGGATCATGGTCCAATTTTAGCCATTTAACGATGGTAAAGTGCATTTTGCAAGCAGGTTTGGTTGGTTTTGAAAGCAGTAAACAAAATTACCAGCATTGACATCATTGACATTAGAAAATAGAATATTTGATACTGTTCTTTAGGAAGAATACTATGTGTTCCTATATTTTAATATTCGAATGTGTGGACAATTGTATTTCAAACTAACGTTACAAATAGCATCAATGAATGCATCTGAATCTCGTAATATTTTTTTAGGAATGGCAGCCATTTCCACATAGATGGTATAATGAAGGACGTTTTGTCACTGGTAATATTCTAGCTGATAATAATCAGGTCAGTAGAAAGTTTTATTATTTCATTGTCCAACAAGCTTTAATACGGGATATTCATTTTCGTTCAGATCAATGCTAATTTCTAACCAGTACCCTGCCAGTAGGTATATCAGAATAGAAATATCGTATTTCATTAAAAAAAATTTCAAATGTTATATAAAGGCTTACTTGAAGCAGGTTATTGACAGATAATATAATTGAAAAAAAAAAATGAAATGAAATTAATGGAGTTTTACGTCCTACTTTTCTGCACCATGTGGAATAACAAAATTGAATAAATCTCTATAATAGATACAGACGTGGGTGTTCCTAGACAGAAAGGGCATGCTCAGTCTTTCAGAACACCCGATGCAACTTGGTTTGTCACCTCGACATGCCTTCTGGAAAGTTCTCATAGCAACTACACTTAATCACTACACTTGGTTTCCTAGATACAGGAATGGTTGGCATGTTTTCTTATTATTAATTATTACTCTATATTTCACTCCTGGGTACACATAGTTTTAACTAAATCAATAATAGTTTTAAACTCTTTGATACAAAACAACAACAGTCTTACTAGTGTTTTGCAATTGTTGTGAATGTTGCTTAATAGAACCACTCTTTTCTGTTTTTTGAACCCATCCCAAAAACGATTACGTATTATTCATGTTTGTTTAAAATGGTAAAACAGAATTAGAAAGCATTGTTAAAGGGATTATAACGAGGTTATCTAAAAAAAATAAAAAAATATTTTATCATTTTATTTTTGACACATCAATTTGCACCATTCCAATTGTCAATCAGACATCTGTGGTTCCTGCAATTCCACTAAAACTAAGTGTTCGTGAAAGGCCTAATGTGTTTGTGACGTCATCAAACACTTAGTTTAAGTGGAGTTGCACTTTCAATCACTTTAAGTGTAACAACCATGAAGGGAAATATTTGGAACCTTTTTTTTAGCAACAGTCAAATAGTTCAAACCAACAAGGTAGAAGTACAGAACAAGTAGCAGAAGATGTTCAACAATCTAGAAAAGATGACCGGGAGGGAACTATACATCATCCTAAACGTGGTACAATCAGAACTTATCTATTTAAGGTATGATTTGTATCTCAATTAGAAATTAAATATTAAATTAATAAATAATACAACTTGATATAAAGAAAACGTCTAAGTATTTACGAGCTCTTTAAAACATGAACCGTGACTTCATCCTTTCTCCAACATTTACCAAATCAAATTCTTTATTTCATCAGTAGAGCTAGTATTTCTTTTTAATTTTTTCAATGAAAGTCATTTGGTTATCATGTTTTCCTGACTTATTCGATTTAACGATACTCACTTCAGAACTTCACTACTGTAATAAACACTATCTTGTTGATTTCAGGAAAAACATTATGTCCATTGTTTTTTCGATCCTTCGTCTGGTGAATGGATGAGGTTACCATTAGGATGGGAATTACAGCATCCTCTAGTGAAGGAAATGGTTGGCCAAGTGGAGGTAAATATTTTAAAATAGTGTTATTGCAAGGGCGTATCTGAAGCATTCTATGACAAGCATTGTTCACTGTAGCTTTAAACAATCATTTTATAAATTTCATTTTCATGCAGTCATAAGTAAAATTAAAGTATATCCTGTTCATGATTTTTCAGGAAGCATTACCCAACTGGAAGAATAGACCTCATATACTAGCAGCTTTAAGAGTGTGTAATTATAATCCTGATGAATGTATATCACTATATCTACATCTAGAAAATGACGGTAATAATAGTTAAAACATTCAAATAAATATGTGCATATCATTATTATTGCAAAATGAAGCTAAGACCATTAGTACTATTAGAAGGTGGTGTTCCTATAATCCTTTTCATGTTATATAAGTCGTTAAAATGAAGAATGTTAAAAGTGTAGAAAAGCTTCCAAATTATTGTATTTATAATATTTCCTTTGCTGAGAATAGTCCTGTAATATTTTGTAATAATGTACTTGTAGAATGGCTAAATCCACCAAAAACATCACAAGAAGAAAATAAACTAAAAGCAAGAGATTTAAAAGTTAAAGAATTAGATAAGAAAGTCCAAAGTCTGGTAGGTATGAATTCATTATAATACAGTATAGATAATATTTTCAACCTAGGGCTTATTACCCTTTTATACAATCAACCTAGGGCTTATTACCCTTTTATACAATCAACCTAGGGCTTATTACCCTTTTATACAATCAACCTAGGGCTTATTACCCTTTTATACAATCAACCTAGGGCTTATTACCCTTTTATACATTAAGATATTATTAATCCAAAAATTGGTCCATCGGTGAATTTATAAATTGGTATATGGGTCATTATTGTTGTTGATTTGATTTACAGGAGGTCAAGTTAAAGAATGAAGAGAAGTTAAGAAAAGATGCTGAAGCTCAAGTGAGTATAGTCTCCCAAAGCACTCAATACCACATTTAATAGAGCTAAAACTTATTTTAGTATTTATATTATGACACTCTGTAAAATTATTAATATTCGGTATAAGTATGACATTCTGTGAAATAATTAATATTCTGTATAAGAATGACATTCTGTAAAATTATTAATATTCTGTAAGTATGACATCCTGTAAATTTGTTGATATTCTGTAAAATCATTGATATTCTGTATAAGTATGACATCTGTAAAATCATTGATATTCTGTATAAGTATGACATCCTGTAAAATTATTGATATTCTGTATAAGTATGACATCCTGTAAAATCATTGATATTCTGTATAAGTATGACATCTGTAAAATCATTGATATTCTGTATAAGTATGACATCCTGTAAAATTATTGATATTCTGAGTAAGTGTGACATCCTGTAAATTTGTTGATATTCTGTAAGTATGACACTCTGTAAAATTATTGATATTCTGTAAGTATGACATTCTGTAAAATTATTAATATTCTGTAAGTATGACACTCTGTAAAATTATTAATATTCTGTAAGTATGAAAATCTGTAAAATTATTAAGCACTCAATACCACATTCAATATAGCTACAACTTTTATTTTAGTATTTATATTATGATACTCTGTAAAATTATTGATATTCTGAATAAGTATTACATTCTGTAAAATCATTAATATTCTGTATAAGAATGACATTCTGTAAAATTATTAATATTCTGTAAGTGTGACACTCTGTAAAATTATTAATAGTCTGTACATTTAATTTTCATGGATTTCCATGGTGAGGCAATTCAGAAGAATATAAGTAATATTTATTCCTACAGATTTAAGTGACTAAAATAATGAATGATAAATTTATTGCTTCTTTTTGATGATTTATGTTAGAATATATTAGTGCCATGCTTTTTAATTTGATTTGACACTAACATCTACTAAACAGTGCGGTGCACAAAAACGTTTTATAGTGACAAAAATTTTCAAATATTTTTAGGTACTATCTTTACAAGAGAAATTATCTGATCTAGAAGCCAAATCGGGTATGGCTGTAGCTCAAGTAGAAGCTATGCAACAAACAAGACCGAGAACAGCACGACCAAAAACACCCAAAGATAAGGTTGGTAACATTGACTTGACAGCATGATTTTATCCAACATAAAGAATTATTCATCGAAATGTAACTATAGAAATACAAAACATTCCATAATCAATAGTTGATACTGTTGAAAATACGATCAATATTTAAGATTATCAATGGTAATGTCTCAGGAAGCAGAAACACTTAAATATCAAACACATTTTCATTGTTTCCATCTTTTTGTACGTGATATTTTCAATGCATTTCATATTGATTTTCATACTTTCTAGAAGCCTCAAGGATGTTTGTCTTTAGAAGAATTAGATAGTTTGAATACTAAAACAACAGAGATTCACAAATGTCATGCTCAGTTTAAATTAACTGTAGAGAGACAATTGGAAGCATTAAAGACCATGATTTTACAGGTAAAATGGTTTCCATACAGCTTATTATTAAAATAACAAAAGTTTTACATCCGACGTCTCTTCTCTTGATTAAGCTATTGAATATGAGCAATTCAATGCAGCTTGCACTAAGGAAAATTTGTCTGGGCAGTGGCACAAGCCTTCATATTTTTTATTTGGAACTCCCGAGGGATCGTAAACGTGAACAAACTGAGCTGTTCCACTACGACTAGGTTCTTGTTATCAATCCCTATAACCGGCATCACTGATGGGAACTACTGCTATGACCCGTTGCTGAGTTAAAAAGTGACATGAATTTATTTTTAGGCTAATGAAACAGCTAAGAAGTTAGGTGAATCTGATGTTGGTCATATGAAAGAATTAGAGGAAATAAGAAGTTTATATCAAAGAGAATCTTTACAAAGAAAACTTCTCTATAACCAGGTACGTTTAAATTCAACGCATTATATTAAAGGTTACTAACAAAACAATCCATTTCTAACAAGGCATATCCCAGAATTCCTCATGTGTAGATTATTCTTTTTTTTTATTGAAAAGGTATTTGATTGGTCGACTATATAATTGCCCTCGAACATGATTGTGTTGCATACCAATTTCGTGGTAAATGGAGCCAACAACAGAACTTCCCTTCGTGTCTGATACGCCTCGGAATGCACCCATTGTTCGCGTAACACTATCCCGTCGCTCGAAAGGTCAGCCACGTGATTTGTTAAAACAGAGGTCAAGCAAATATTAACAGAATGAAACGTCAAGAAGGACAATGTTTGATCTTACTGTAGTGGCTACGTACAAAGCTAATAGCTAATAAAACATTCGAAACGAAACTAATAAAAAGTTTAATTTAATTAGACTGCAACAGAACCAAAACACATTGATAAACCAGAGTGTTTTTGTGAGACATGGTTTTTATTATTCCTTTGTTGTTGTTTTTTATTACAAGAGTAATTGTTATCACGGTAATATAATTTTATCAACATCTCCATATTGTCTTGATTTATGTCATAGCTTCAAGAATTACGTGGTAATATTCGAGTATTCTGTCGACCTAGAAGAGATGATAAGGTTCAACCCTGTTTAACGTTTCCCACTGATAATGAGTTAATGTGCTCTAATAGTGACGGCAACAAGAAAACATTTTCTTTCGATAAAGTTTTCAAGACGACAGCTACACAAGAAGAAGTAAGTTATCACTAAAATACTACGATTAAGTTTGAACAGTTACAAATGAAAGTTAAAAAGTATAGCCTCTCTATTCATATTTATGCCTATTTTGCAAATTATGGGCCAGGATTTTTCTTTTATGTGTAAACTATACAAATTAAACGCTCTCGATCAGATTAATCATAACTATGTCGAGATCAAATCCATATTGTTGAACCTATAATGAAGCGGTGATTAATATAATATTCAAAGCTCAGACAAAAATACAATAACCATAACTAAAACTAAAATAACTTTAATGATGAAGTGGTTTGACATTAAGATATATTGTATATTAATATTTTCCTGATATTAGGTATTTGCTGATACGAAACCAGTGATAACATCCTGTGCTGATGGTTATAATATATGTTTGATAGCCTACGGTCAAACCGGTAGTGGTAAAACATATACAATGATGGGACCGGAGAAAAACCCAGGAATAAACATAAGGTATCAGAAGGTTTATCAATTTGGTAATAATGTTCTCTCCATCAAAGGAAATACTGTAGCAGGCGTAACTGCTCATTCATGTCATGTGATTAAGTTCATCACTCTGCATCTCTTTCAGAGATTCTGCTCAGATATTCAAGTTATTTATTCGCTTCACATTTTTATTTAATTTGAGCTGCAATAAAATATATTACTGTGTTGGTCCATCTGGCACTGTAATATTTAGGAATTTCTTGTTACACTAGTCCCACAAGTGACAAACTTTCATAACTTGTTATTTCAGAGCTCTGACAGAATTATTAGATATCTGTGAAAAGAGAGCCGATGTCAAGGTGTATGAAATGAAGGTAAGATTACTCCATATATCATCAGACAAACGATTATGAAAAAGGGAAGAAACAACAAAGATACAAAGATAAATAAAGATTCCCCAAGCTCCTATTAGATATCTAGATTTGAAATGTTCTATTATATCAGATATGTATAGTATAAATTTATAATTATGTTGTATTATTTCAGATAACTATAGTAGATATCTATAACTTTGTTGTATTATTTCAGATAACTTTTGTAGATATCTATAACTTTGTTCTATTATTTCAGATATATATAGTAGAAATCTATAACTGTGTTCTATTATTTCAGATATCTATAGTAGAAATCTATAACTTTGTTCTGATATCATCTTAGTATTTGCTCTAATTTTTCAGATATCTATAGTTGAAATCTATAATGAAGCTGTAATTGATTTATTGGTACCCAATGGTAAAACAGTGGAATTAAAAGCCTCGGGAACCAATTTTAGAATTCCTGGATTAACAGAGGTACCAATAAGAAGTGTCGACGAAATTAAACAAGTTATGAAAACTGGAGATGAAAACAGAAGTGTAGCTTCAACCAAGATGAACTCGACAAGGTATGAGTTTTAATCAACGGACATTTCTAATATAAAATGTAGAATCATCAAAAGAGAATGGGTGATCTCCAAGATTCATCAAAACATTTTAATAATGCATTGCAAAGAACTGCAACAATTACTTAGTCACTTATGATTGATTGATGATTGTGAAAAGTTCACTATCTGCTACCGTTAATATGTTGTTACGGATTTCGGGTTTCGTTTTGCGGTTCGGATCGCTAGTACTTGGTATGTAAGCACATCGAGTTTAACCTCTCATAAAGTACACACATACTAATTTGGTGTCAAAAATGTTTTCTTGCTGTTTGTCTGTTTGTTTTAAGTCGTACAGCAGGCGCATCTAAACTGGGTACAAGCAAAATTATTGACACATAGGTACATTTATAGAAATATTTTCTGTATTTTAGTTCTCGTTCACATTTGATATTGATGTTAACAATAGAAGGTAAAGATAAAGTCAATGGTGCAATATCTAAAGGAATGTTAACATTATGTGATTTAGCTGGTTCAGAAAGAATTGGTAAAACTGAGGCCTCGGGACAACGATTAGTAGAAGCTGCTGCCATCAACAAATCTCTATCTGCTCTCGGTCAGGTACAGTAGTTTAAAACCTTAGTGATCCTTCCTCAGCCCGGTGGCTATGTCATGAATTGTGGTAAGAAAAACCAGGCCTTTTTTATAATTTAATTTGATGAATAAATATAGTGTCATTTTTACACCAATAACATATTGGGAATTGAGGTTCAACTTAGTTAAATTATTAAAGTTATTAAGACAAAGGTTTCACATTATTGTTGAAACTATCATATAAAAACTGGATATTGGCATGTCTTCATTTCAGGTATTTTCTGCTTTAAGAACAAGTCAAATGCACATTCCGTACAGGAATTCGAAACTTACCCAGATTTTAAGACCTTGTTTAGGAGGTGATGCTAAGGTAAGAAACATCAGTACAGTTTTTTTTATATTCGCCAATTCACTTTATCAACCTTTTACCAACGGATTAATGATTCAAAGAAACCTTCCTAAAAGAAAATACTATAGATACTACTGCATTGATGTATTGATGACCAATTCCTCAATTACCGATTGACTGACTGTATTGATATCTTCTAATTTTCAGGCTTGTGTCTTTGTCAATATTAGTCCCGATGTAACTAACTATCCCGAAACCTGCAATACGCTAGAATTTGGTTCCAATGCCAGACAGGTAGCATTAGGTCAAGCTAAACAGAACGTCAAGAGAATGAGAGACTAATGATATCTTATAGCCATTTTTTTTCAAGCTTTAATATCTGAGATTTTGAAAGGTGTCTCATACAGTCACATGGATTTGCGTATAGTTTTAGTTTTCTTGTACAAAGTAGGATCGTTTTCATCTGCAACCTTTATTAAATCTACCAAGCAGTTACATAGTCAGTAACAAGTTACTATGCCCAAATACAGTTACCAGTCACTCTACTTACCATCCATGTCAAGATTACTTTACCAGTTACCAGTTACAGATTACGATGATTTTATATAGTTATTAGTCACGATACTGTTACCAGTTACTAAAGCTCTATATAATCACCATAAGTTACCATTCACTATAATGAGTTACTTAAATTGCCTGTCACCAGCTAAATGATTTTTAAGATTTTTGTCAATTGCTAGGCTTTTGCTATGTAATTTCTTGCATACCTAATGTGCAATTTATAAATAGTTAAGACAACATCAATATTATTTTTTGATGATTTTTTATTGTTAGAATATGTAATATTTATGTTATTTTTGTCAAGTTAATATGTATGTGCTATTATTATGAGAATTTTTCATGAAGGTTATTTGTTCTATGTCAGATTGACAGATGGTTTGTTGGTGGGTTATCTTTGCACATACCTAGTAATGAATCGTATATCGAATACGGGTTTTGACAAGGTCTTATTAACAGTATAACGAATGGGGTCAATTTTTCTATTGACATGGTTCGTCTCTTTAGTTGTAATCATAACAAACACTTTAACAAAATGCATAATCTGGCTGCAAAAGGGGCTTGTTCCTTAATTTTCAGAACCAAGAAGGTGCAAATCTTAAATGCATAAAATGATTACATTCCCTTAGGCTAGGCTTCTTGTAAATTATTGTAAATTTAGTTTGTTTATCTTTTTGTGACATTTGCAAATATGGTTCCCTTTTGAACCACTGTTAAATCCGTCCACTTACATGATCGTTAGTTCATGTCAGATAATGATTGTCAAATTCGGAATATTTCTGTTGTGTTTTATGCCTTGTTACATTTAAATCATTCTTTAACTTGCATCTCTATACATATATGTATATGTGCATGTATTGTTTGAGTTAGAATAAGCTATGAGAGGGTAATTGCAAAGTTTATTAACCAAACTAGCAAATTTGAAAGCAATTTGATATTGTAAGTATTTACATTATTCTTTGATGTTCTTTCGAATCACTTACAATTTTTTTTTTTTGGTTGAACCAAAAAGTCGAATCTTTACTTTGAATGAAGGTATAATTTCAGACTTCTTCTGCTTGCTATTTTTCTATTCAGTAAAATGTAAAATTCAAACCATATCGACCGGCTATTATAAACAATGGCTGGCGTCAAACATGTTTTTATATTGGTTAAATCTTAGGAATATTTGAACAATAACGTCTATTTCATCGATTATTCATTCAAATTCTCTAATAATTGTATGATATATATACAATATAAACAACCAGTACATCGTTTAAGGTCTGTAAAGGTGTTTGGAATAGAATACCTACTCAATGACCCATTGTATTGAAGAAAATAACTGTTTCAGATTATTGAATAAACGTTTAATTGTAACATATGACCTGCACTTACTGCTGACATTTTATTGCTGAACAAATAAAAGTATTTCTGGAAATCTTGTTATTTATGTCACACTAGAAATACATAATATTTTAAGACTAACATAAAGTCAGATTAAATAAATTCGAGTTAGAGGCCGGAGCTTCCTCCCACAGCTTTTATCACAGTGCATTATAGAATTTGTCAAAAATCTGAATTTTTGTTGGTTAACAACAATAATAGCTATCCATAGAAGGATAGATAATCGGAACGTTGTGATTATAGCTAATAGTCTTGAAAGGGAGAGCTAGAAAGAGGAGTTGGTAATTAGAGTAATAGTGTACTTGTGTTGTGTTTTTGTTGTTCTGTCAAGGTGGAGCTATCTCCCTTGATGTATATCACACGTGAAACAAGTTGAACCCACCAATAGAATAATAAATAGTCCGCATTTTAAGAATTTCCATTTCCTTTGGATTCGAAACATGAAGAACACGTCACTTTGGTTTCCGTTAATTAGAATGTATTAAGTGCTTCTCAGATCAGATCACCCGAATAGTAGAACCTGGTTGTGAATCTGAAACAACGTTTGAAAATAAATTCAGCTCTTCATATAATAAAGACGCTTACGCCTGGTACGCTCATGTGGTCGTCATACTTTCTAAAAACGACCAAAAACGAGATGTCAAGCACCTATCGCTAGTTCATGTAACTTTGTACCAAGACAAAATGTGTACCAGTTATACCAGAAAGTGGAGATAGTTGGACAATTTTGGTGCAAATAATACTTGAAACTTAAGCGTGAAGTGTTGAATTGGACCTATATCAACCCATTCCGACCAAGAACCTATGAGATGATAACTTGGCAAGATCATGTAGGTGTTTTCCATCTCTATCTGGCTGAATGTTATGTGGAATTAAACAACAAAAGCTATCAACTTTATTTATTAATAAATAGGTGAACATTCTCACTTCACTAATTATAAAGTGTGTAAAAATACATAACAATAACTTCCAGAGAGTATACAAAATCACAGTTTCTGCTAATAGTTAATCTAGAAATGCCATTACAATGTAATATTCCTAAAAAATAAACTCTGCAAATCGAGTGCTTAGACCGAAATGATAGTGCTATTTTAATTCAAACCATCTTAAAGCTCTCAGTGGGTTGAAAATATCACCACATTTTAGTAATCTGAGATATGACAAATACATCAAAAAGAAGATTTATTCATAGAAATTTAGAAAAATATTATATTCAGTTCGTTAACGTTTTCAAACAAAATCTTTCAAGGATTGGAGGTCACAGTACAAATTTGATATATATCTTGTACATACTTCGACTTTCCTAACAACAAGTCATTGGTATAGAAATGAAATCAAAAGATCAATAAAACAAATCACTAAAAATATTCGTGATGCTTCAGACAAATTATCCAAAAACAATAAAACATATGACCAAAAATTAAAGCGCCTTCTATTAATTAAGGCACAAAATAGAAAAAGTGAATATTCTAAAAGTAAATATCACGAAATTGCTGTTAAATCAAATTTCTATATCTTTATGCTGCATTGAGATCAGAAACAACCCACTGGAATAAGGCAGCGTCGTTTCCACCACTACTTAAAACAAAGCTATCATCAGCAGTAAATGTTATTGCTGTAACATTATTAGAGTAGGGTTTCACATTTCTGAACTGAGCCTAAAATAAGAAAACGTTGTCGTTGAAACGAATTCTTGACAAACTAAACATATAATAATATATTGATAACATTTCATGCTATAATTAACATGGTTGGCAAATCTATATCTTGAACATGAGTTTTAATGCAGACACATGACATTGGTAAAATGTTACTGCTGAAAACTTTACCAGGATGTATTTCAGATATGTTTTGTCACTTACATTCTCTTTTTTCAAAATCGTATGAGAAGTTCTATAAACAACGTTATGTTGAAAAAGTGGTGGCTCAAGACTCTACTGTGGTAGCAACTTCATTACAAAATCAGAGATTATAACATAACCGCAACTTATAGAACATACCTGTAATGATGTTGAAGGATGTCGATATAGTCGAATACGACCTCTATTATCACCTACTGCCACGAACTCAGATTTAGCTGAACGACCAGCAACATTGACAACTTCTCCATTTTCAAGATTACTCCATGGTCCTAAAATACACGTACATTATTATAAATAGAGTTCATCTCTTATATCTCGTATTTAGGATACACAATCTTAATCAGGATTATAGCTTGTTTTGTCTCAACGCTATCAAATAAATAGTTCAGTTTACGTTTCAATCGGACTAAGAATTAAATGTTGCACATTATAAAATTTTCAACTTACTTGTAATTTAATGAAATAGTCAATTAAATTAATTTCTTCGTGACAAAACGTAGCTAACATGGAATCACATAGAAAGACGTGCATAGGAAATGATAGATAGATCAGATTACCTTATTACTGCTATACCGATTCATATATTTTTTCTTTGATTGAAAAAAGAGACAAAGAGTTGCTGATTTTGATCTTAAACGAACAGGCATGAATACACCTTTTCAAATCTGCCTGTTTCTCATAAATTGTTTAAATTGATTTATCGTTTAAAAGCAAGCACCTAACAAACTAAAAGGTTCATAAATAATATATCCGTTTCACTGAAATAAAAAAGAATTGTTAACTAACCAATCAAAGCGTATCCAACACTACAAGTTTGTGAACACCATTCTATATCTCTCATTATTCTCGCATCTTTTCTCTTCTGCATATTATTGATATCCCCTGTAATTTGTTACAATATCATTTTAGTATGTAGACAAAAACATTCGTAGCCAAAGCATGATTTAGCGATGCAATATTTCCGAATTAACCATGAACCATAAAAACTGTCCGATTTGACACCAATGAGTCAAGGGATTTTGGAGATATCGCATACTACAGTACATATAATAGTTCATTTTCCTTCAGGACATTGTTCCAGGTGGCAATCACTAGTAGCTCTCCCCTTCCCCGCGCCAGAGAGTTGAATTCAGCTCTTTCAGATCTTTTAGATCAGAGTCAAGAAAAGCTTTATTATGTGCACTTTAAAGAATAACGGAACGTTTGGTTTGGTCTTACTCAGGAACCACTCAAATACTCGCAAATAGTATACATACTGAAGAATTAAACATTTATGTTATATACTTACAATATACCACTTCATAATCTCCCAGTACAGTCTGTAAAAAGTTACTGTCAACAGACCAATCTACTTGACTAACAAATGAATTATTATTCTGAAATATGATCAAATTGGTATTTTACGTCTTAAGTTAAGTTCTCTAAAATTATATTGGGGCGGACAACGGGATGAACGAAGACAGTCGGTTGCATTGTTCCGGTAGCATACTCTTCTTTTATTCCAGGTGTCTTTTTTTCGAAAAATAATTAAAGATAATTTTCATGTCCCCGTCATATGATTGGTCAATCACTAAAATCAATTTTTTAAATTCAGTTTTATTATCCAATCAGATAACTGCATGTCTTAAAATCTTGATTTCGTCACATGGTTTATTATTCCACCCTACCGGATAAATCCTTTTCCATATCAGCCACTGCCTATTACTAACAAAACACTCAATATTGACTTCGGACCAATAATAAACTCTCTTACCTTCAAGGCAGCAGATTGTGTACGAGTGAATTGACAATACTCGTTAATAGAAAATACATGCGTAAATCCATCATGGGCACCAATAGCCAACTTTTTACCATCTGAAATACATTAATTCTTAAGTTTTATTTCACGTAATTCAAGATAGAAACATATTCTATGTATCATCAAGTATCAGGACAGCATACAATGTGATATTTTAGGAATATGTGTGACTGGAGATACGATAAGGTAAATTAGAGGAGAGCATACCTTGACTGAAACTGAGAGCATTAATCTGAGCATTACCAACTTGTGTAGAGGTAATTTCTGACCCATCTTCCACTTTTAATAATACCAATTTACCAACAGTAGTGCCGACAGCAACTAGTACACCTTTAGGATCTATAGCTACTGATACACAGGGTTTCTAGAAAAACATAAATAATGGTCTTTATATCCTTCTCATACTTCTCAGTTGCGTTAACATAAATCATAAGTTCCGCATTCCTTCCAAATAGTTCAAAGTTTACAGTTAAGCTAACAAATTTATTACAATATCGTTTCTTAAATGTTCTGAATGATCAATGCATTCAATATGTAACCTCCTAGAAGACTGCAGCACGACTGTATCCGACCTAATAAGATTTTGCTGGTTTTTCACCTATCTTAGTTTATTAACCTACCTCTATCTGTGTTCTCCATTTAATACCATGATTCAATGTAGACCATTTGATAACCAGTTGATCATGTCCAGCAGTTATAAAAGAACCTTCTTTAGGATGACTAGCAATTGCCCAGATTTCATCACTGTTACCCTGTAATAAAAAAACCCCAAATAACTTCATAAGTAATAAACCAAACCGCTAGCGTACCTGTTAGCGTTTTTAAAGGCTTTCACTGTAATAAGTGGTTTATAGCACCTGTTAGGTATGCGGTAGACAAATATATTCATGAAACCACGTATATGTTACTACTTACAAGGGGTGAAGTTTGAATTGAAACCACTGAGTAAGGATCAATAATTACATGATAAATACATAACAGGCAAAACAGAAAATTAACAGAAAAAACAATGGATGGCCTACCTGGATAACGTAAGAGAATTTCTTGCCCACATATTCTAAAACACAGGATTTGGTTGTACCAATGTACAGGGATCCTTCTGGTGCGTCAGTATTTTGTAGTACAACAGATCGTACATTTCCTGACAACTCTGGTAACTAAAATTAAGAATTAAAAGGATAAGTCTTTAATGCAGACACGTATATCTGCACGAAATGTTTTTTTTATATAGTTTTTTAGGTTCTAACAATTATATTTACAAAATGACAACAGTATCTATCTGTATTCAATTCCAATCTTGTTCAATATATCTGATTACAAAGGATGCGGTTAGGAAGGATTTTACTGTATCGTCTAATGATGCAATCATAAACTCATTAATGTAATTGTATGATTAGGAACTTGTATTTCATACCGTTTTTTCTTTCAGTTTCTTAAAACCAGCTGGTGCATCCCAGTGTTTGATTTCATTTCCTCCACCAGATATCAGAACACCATCAGGCTTCATACATAAAGATGACACCGCTTTCTGAAGACAAAGATATATAGAGTGGGAGATTTTCAGACCATTTTTAATAGGACTGACTTTCGCTCCTATTCAATGTTGTACAGCTGTTTTGATGAATATCTTATATTTGAAGCATATGATGTACTCTAGACAATTAATTCAGCCACATGTCAATAAGCCAAATAAAACTGATTTATTTGAAATAATACATACATAACAGACAATCAAGTGAAATCTTATAGATATAGTACAAAAATAGTTTCAGATAGGCTTTATTTATAACTGACAGCTATGTCTTACCTTATGTGCAGGTATCTCTTCCGATAAAATAAATACATAGTCATCTTTAGTATCAACCCAAATATGTATTGTGCCATCTGAGTTTCCAGTGATCACTTGGCCGTTTTCTGAAAAGGCTGCGGACGTCACATTTGGGGTTTCTTCCTGAAAGCCAAATGGTATCCATGTAGACGTAGCAAGAATTTAGAAAAATCTACATATAATTATCAGTTTTACATACTAGAAAAAATATAATGCAAACACTGAATAAACCGACAGGGCTTGAAATTTCTCAAATTGTTCAAGTTTGGATAATGGATGTTTCCCTTTCTCAGCCATGCATTCTGAATGCAATCATAAGTTTTAGAATGTACCTGAAATTTACAGATGTGATCTGTGAGGCTAATGCCAGGAGGACGCAGAAACGCCACCGGAAAGAAGACTTAATTTGACATACCTCAAATATGCCACTCTTTTTATCTCTCAATATTTTACAAGTTACACCTCTATCACTGCTGGATTCCCAGAACAACTTCCAGAAATACAGATGTTTATTACCATAGGTGATGATAATATCATTGTTATATTTCTTATCATTTCTATCACCAGGATAAAAACATCCACCTGTCACTGACTCGGCCGTAGTCTGAAACAATATAAACCATTAAAGAAACGAGGAAAAGAACACGATGTTCAAGAAGATATAAAAGAGCACCGCGCCCCACATGAAGTATGTAATACACTTCTCAACTGTTTCTAAATTTAATGTGTTTTCTGCGTTGTACAGAACTTGTCTTTCCATCATAAAAGACATTTGACCACAGCAAAACAATATTATGCCAGATAGCAGTACGTAAAACGAGAAGCTTCAGCAATCCATATGGAAAAAACATCAGTCCCAATACCTATTTGATTTCAAGCTCATATACCCACTTGATTATGTTTTGAAAATAATAAATAACCTAACATGATATCAGTCAGTCCCATAACTACAAGCAATAATTCTACTTGTTACAATAGTTCTCAATGTATAATACAATACTTTCTATCTGATTTTATATTTTATCATTATTTTAATGTTTTAAGTGTGATCAAAAAGATAGAAAAGGTAAAAAAAACGTCTTACTGTTGTTTTAGCAATACGTTTTGGTTTTCCCCAGTCCCAAACACTTAGTTCATGTTTTTCACTGTCATCGATTACCATAATATAGTCCCCTTCCGCCTGGAATGCAACAAATATTGTCAAACACAGATTCATCTACAGGAATATCACAAAATATGCAATATGTTATGACATATACTAAAAAAACGTCACTTATCATAATCCTATACAGGGAACTGTTAAAACTGTTGAAACTGTTACATAATCAAAGTTGTAAATAAGGAAATTTAAGTAATAAAGTTCTTTGATAAGTGTTAAATGGATGCTAGGATTTTGAAGAAAAATAAAATGTAATCAAAAGTATTCCGAATCTACATTCTAACATTAAAGGTATATTGCACCTTTGAGCCACCGTACTTGTGAATCGATATTGCACTTCAGTATTATTTGTCTTACCTCAACCGAGAAAGCGACTGTTTTAACACTGGCTTTAAATACATCAAATCCAACAACTTGATATGTAGTCAGTGTCAGCCCGTCCCAGATTCTTACATGTGCCTGGAATAATGGGAAGGGAACAAAAATCACTATTTTTGATAAAGATCAATCGTCGAAAGATCTTTCCACATTCCGATTCCATTTTTTCAAGGATGGAGATCATAATAGCAAATATTGTGAAAATATAAACTTTCTTGTGTACTCTTTTTTGATCAATTTCTGACAACTTTCTTTCTTATGTTTTCTATTTACGTATATCAATAGTAAGACTCTCACTGTTAGAGTGTTCTTTTATTATGAAATACATTTTTCGAAATTTCGTTAATTGATTAGTTCGATTTTCTTCTTTAAAATATACAATGTAAAGAGGAAATACACTACCACTTTATATGTACTTACAGCAAACTCTGGTGATGAACCAGCAAGTTGACCACTGGCAATAAAACGTTTATTGGGATGAAGAGCTAAGCTAAAATTAACAAAACAGAAATCTCGCTCAGATGTGATTAATCACACAGTTTTGGTTTGAAGTTAGTTATGCGAATCGCATACAATAGAATTTTATTGTACAATAGGAATATGATAAACTATGAACCAAAAACTAAAGTGTATTTGATGTAATACGTGATTACAAGCACAACGGTAAAGTACGAAATACACTCAACATTCCAGCAGAAACATTTCCTGCGTTCAGTTATCAAATCAGTAATTCGCTTCGTTGCGTTTGAACTCTAAATGCTGTAACAGATTTATAAAGCAGATATTGTAACTTACCAAGTAACCTCTTCGGTATGTCCAGTGTAATGTCGTTGTAATTCAGTTGTCAATGGTTTTGATCTATCTTGATATCGCTGTTCTCTCTTCTCATATATAACAACTACAGTAGCTACAAAATATACCAACTCTCCAGTTACTAATACTTTAATATTGTCTTCAACATCACGACCTCGAAACCCGTATCTTTACGTTTATTAAGGAAACCGTTACGAAAGATACAAAATGAAGCAATACACAAAAATTGGGTGAGAGGATCATTTAAGCTACCAAACGGTCCTAAAAATGGTTATTTTTTTTGCAAATTGAAATTAAATCCTACTTTTCAGTTTATTGTCTCATCCGAATGACAAGGCGTTCGAATTGCAAATATCTTTCATAGAAATTCATCATAGGACAACTGAGTTTTTTATTGTTCATCAAATAAGGAAATGACGTTAAAGCGTTTAATAATGTACTGATATTAAAGGATACACCCAATCTAATGTTAACTTCTTGTTTGGTTTTCTACCATCTTCCTCTACTTCAGTCGGTAGGAAAAATTCTGAAAGACATAATGAAAAAAAGGGAATATAACCGTTTACATATCAGTTTTCCGGGCAATTTATATACTTCTTTAGGCCTATCAGTTTTTTAAATTGTTGAGAGAAAAAAACGGTTTCTCTGCAATAAAACAAAAATGTACTTTCACATTCTCCAGAGCACATTATCATAACATCAAAGGTAAAATTGCCCGCGATCGTTTTAAAAAAGGACAACTAATCTGAATGTTTATGTATTATGAAAGTCATTGTATTAATCTATTGTACAACTTTCTTACCTCGTGCTTGTTTATTTATTATAACTCTAGTGGTTTCAACTGATCTCTTGTCTTTAAATGCACCACCTTTACGATTTATTCCGTTCAATGACTGTGATCTGCTCATTAATCCATCTTGTTGAGAACCATCTACAGAGGAAATTTCAAAATCAGGTATTTAATTTGTTAAAAAGAAAGTGTAAGTCACAGAGCGAACAAGGTACCCGTTAGTACTCGCAGACTACAGTTGTCAGAAATACAAGATCGCTTTCTCGATATGAAAAGCCAAACATGATCAAACATGATCTCTGTCTTTACACATATTTTTGGAAAAGAGCATTGGTTTTTAACAATGAGAAAATGATGAAAATTGCCCAAATTCACCCAAGACTGAGTCAATATACACCGGAATTCACTGTACCTTATTGAAAAAAATAAACTCACTGGAATTTTTATTCCTGTTAGTGGTGTCCATTTCCATTGGCACTCCTTCTTTTCCAACGGCATAAAATTCTTTGATTCCATTTTTATATAGAGACGCCAGGGCCGAAAAGCTTTCCACCTAAATATTACGAATAAATCATAATGTTAGTCAATTGAAGTAAAACCATTGTAAATATTACGTAACTTTGAGATGTACCTCAAATAATTCTTTTTTATGAAGTTCATTTTGATCAGCGTTCTATAATAATCGTAAAATATTATCATTTATAATTGCTTGTCATGCCAGAACCTCCTTTTTTAAAAACAGTTCAAAATGATAAAATTCAAGAACTGGTCTTTATCGACTACATATACAACAGGAATAAAGATATCTGAATTTATAATAAATGATTATAATTATAAAGTAATAATAACGTATGCAAACATACCTTTTCCATAGGTTTCTTGACTGTCCATAAACTGAGAACAGGTTTTTCTGGAATAACAACCATTTGAGGTATATCTTCCAGTATATCTTCAAAGATTCCTTCTGATTGCGGATTAAGCAGCAAGATGTTTTTACTTTCTCGTACTAGGTTACTGATGATTGTAATATTCAGTGGTTGTTTTCGGGATGCACTGTGCATGGCTCCTGTTTCAACTTGGGTATTTCTTCCCTTAAACAGATGCCTTTCATCGTGGACGGGTCTGCTGTTTTGCCAATAGCCTTCTCTGGATTTGCCATAATTCTGGGTGGTGTCAACTTTCTTATCAGAAGAGGCAAGGTAGGACTGACCATGCTCGAACTCCAGTAAAGATCGAATTTCTTTCCCTGATGGATATTTAAATATAAATTTCACGCCCTTGTTCACCGGAAGCGTGTCGCAAAGTTCAATAAGTAATGCTTCGAAATTTGCGAAATTTCGTTGATTGATAAGAACCTCTTTGCCTTTAAAATCAGGGACTTTGTTAACGAAAAATGTAACTCTTTTCGGCTTCTTCGCATTCTTTTCATTGCCTTTGCTTGAGCCATCATCGTGTAAGGATTCTTCGTATCTCGGTCCTCGGTTCATTGGAACGTCTGTAGAGGAGTATATAACTTCACTTTCCAAACCGTCGTCGTCGTCACTCAAAATTACCGACGACGCATTCTGAAAAAAAATATGTAACAAGTAGTCATTGGTATATATCATAAAACATTTTAAAACTTTATACGAAACGTAATACGTTCTGACAATTTGGTGAACTTTTTCTAAACAGATTAATAAGTCTAAAATCACATTTCTCTGCATTTCCAAGCAACATTACTGAAAAAAAATGACCATAAACACCCCAATGATGTCAGATCCAAAAACAGAAATTAGAAGATTCCTATGATGGTAAAACAGTACAACTTTCAGTATTCTGCTCGAATGAAATACATTGACAATACCCTGATGCTAGTTAATTTAATTTAAACACCCATTTTATTAAAAAAAAAAGAAAATAGATGCAAAAATGTCAAAAAATAAATTGATGTTAACTCTTCTAGTTTGATGTTTCCTGTAATGCAGGTTTTACACTTTCATAATGCACTATTAATGAAAATCTCACTTTATGACGAGGCATGGTTGATGAATTTGTGCTGTTATGATAAAATATGTCTAAAGAAAACACTGCTATCGAGAGACAAAGATTAACTTTTTTTCACAACTTAAAAGATATCAACTTCTGAGAAACATTAGATATTGAGCATTTTTATATTGCGTTTTCTCTTCATTGGTTACGGTAGGTAGTCCGAGATCAGCACCCACTTGACTATTGATTACTTGGAGCAGACGTTGAAAATAAACGGTATCGAACACAACATCTCGAACTATAAACAACATTTGTATGGTAAACGGCATCAGAGTTACTATGGCGATATTGTGTACAGATTATAAAGACCGCCATCAGAGCATAACCGACATCAATATATGCGATGAATAATACATGAATTAATAGTTGCTCTAGTCAGGCATTTAATACCTTAAATCTTTAGGGCCCTTAAAAAATTCACTTATCAAATTTTAATTTTGTTTCTTTCTGGATATTTATCAGAAGAGATACCAAGCGTTTCTAATTTTATTGTTTATCTTCTGATGTCGTAAATACACCTACACGCACGTGATTTCAATATAACAGATATAATGCAATAACTAACATTATGACGTCCGTTATGCTGTCCGCAAAATGTCAAAATCCCTTTGTCAAAATCCCTTTGTCTTACAATATCAGACAAAATTTAGTCAAAATTTAACAAAATTACCATGAAAGTCATGGAGAAATTTCAATAAAAGTTACTTGGTTTGGTCACACTCACTCTTACAAAACACCCGATGTCGTTAAACGATTGATTCAGTCACAAAAAGGGAAAAGACATACCATAACTAAACCACAATTGAAAAAAAGAGAAAATGTGGCCTGCCATCTACTAATAAAATGTAATTAAAGTGACATAAAATGAATAGACAGTATTGATTTAGGATACTGGTAACATCAATATCATAAAAATCAATTATTGTTAAACTATATTATACTATTATAAAAGTAAACTCAAATAAACGTTCAAAAATATCTTTCAGTGTTCAAAAATTTGTTTTTATCGAAAATTCAATCCATAATCTTGAAATTTGCTGCTTGACGCAGTCATCGCTTATGAGTTTTTGTTAATTTCCTATCATTAGTTTTCATGACTAATTTCTATGTCCTAACTTATATTTTACGGACAGTTCGCTAGTCTAGAAATTGCAATTCGAAACCTTTGCTCATAGTTGTAAAATACACTCTTTTATCTATGAAAATGATTTACTACCGGTGACCGTGAGCAAGATTGGGAGATGTTAAACTTAGTTATCTTTACATCAGAATATAAAGGCCATGGATCGCCATTTTCGGGGTTGATTTGGGTCTTGAATATATGTATAAATAGTCTTCAGAAAGCAAGAGCTCCACGAAAATCGCATTATCTCTTCAAAAATACCCTATTTCCTATTTCTATAATATCGTTTCTATATATGTCGGAATATCAGGAAAAGACGAATTGTCATTTTTAACTTTCAAACACGGATAATTCTGGAAATGGATGTACAAGGATTTGTGAACACTATTACTGGTTAGCTAAGCTAAACATATCCCGTTTCTGAACCTAAGGTAGGATTGGTTAAACTGATGGCGAATTATTTTGTTAATTGACGTGGAATTTCCTTTATTAAACTATTTAATTAAACCTCTCATTATTAAACTTCTCATTATTATAATTTTATTATTTTCCTGACTTCAATGACTGGGAGAATTTTCTAGCATCCTGGCAAGCTCGCCAAAAATGTAGTAGGACGCGTGGCAATGTTTGAGGATTCTGGCCTATTAACTAGTTCTATGTTTGTGGATAAGTGGACTTGGAATGGCGATCTCTGTATCTACCAATTCCTGGATTCCCATAAAGTCTGTAGGACGAATTTATGCTCTAAGGCCCCAAAATTCCCCAATAATTATGCCACTAATATCCAGTTTCCCAATCAACGCAGAAGTTCCAAGGTTCAGATACAGGATACTAGGTTCTCTTTCAGAGATCGAAGTCAGTAAAGATTCAGTTTAATTAAAATAAAATATATGACATAACAAGTGTACATTATGGGCGCGCTCACAAGAGACAAAAAACGATTTACAACAATAAAACAATAAGTTAACAAAAGTACAGAAACATTTTCCCGACTTTTAACAAATGGGCGTTCTCCTAATCATAAAAATAAACTATTTCATTAATTCCCATAGAGGACGAGATTTCCCCAATTTAGTTGCTTTCTGGCGGAGAATGTAAATTCTCCCATATAAAAGCATTTTCAAACCAAAATCTAACCCAAAAGTAAAGGATTCAATTTAGAAACCCAAAGCCGAATAACCCGAGTAACGTTGGGTACAAAAAGCATGTAGCGAAGGAAGTGTTTCCTCCCGTGAGGTTGCCAAACCAAACGTCCCAATTCAAGGACTTCGGCCGAGTCAATGATACTAGAAATATCTCCGTTTATATAGCCCTAAAAACGCTAAGAATTGTGGTAAATTCACGTGCAAGGATGCATGAACATAGTAATCGAACACACCTGATACAAGGCCGGCGATTGGTTCGTAACTGCAGTCTATCAACCAATCGGATGTACGGTTGTATAACCTTATCGGAGAAGATTCAAAACATCCGGTATAGAAGAATTTTACCGTTTACGGATTGATAAATACATTACAAATGAAGTCACGAGGCCACACATATTTAAGCAGGTCTAGATAGTTTTGTGCAAAAATTTTATCATCCAAATAAAGCTAAGATAATTTGTTAAAGCACCAGCAGTGGCATAGAATCAAATACCTTCAAATCCTCAATTCCCAACAACTATTGGTTCAAAAATACTTTTTTTTGATTCACAGTAACATCCAGAGTACAGTAAGGTTTAAGTCATATAGACATACATTTCTACAGACTACAATGTGATTAAATGACTGCTAGTGGTGTGATTAACATCTAGATAATAGTTTGAACAGTGATAAAATGTAACAACTGTGATTCATATCCAAAAACTTATTACAATCTGTTTTTAAGACCTGCTTAGTTTACCATAAAAACTACATCAATGTTAGTGATGTATATTTTAATTAAAACTGATTTTACTGATGTATACCAAGATTGCTTTCTCTCAGACTAATTAGTTTTCATTAAACTTATTTTCATTTTCGTTTGACTGATTTTTTAAGAATAGAATTCATCCATTAAAATATCAATGCTCTAATGTACATCCTAAACAAATCCGTTTAAAAACTAACAAAGGTTGCAGCATGTTTTCAAGATTTGTTAAAAATCATTATGATTGATGCATAAATAAAGACGCTAATTATTTCTGGCAATCATTTTTCTTGAAATATTACCTCATTGAAATATATTTTTGTTACTTAAAAAAGATAGTTCTTTTGAAATTATCAAGTAAGATATGGAGGTAATGAAGAAGAACGATACTAATTTGTATGTTCTCGGCCTGAAAGCTGCTATTGAGCCAT